GTTTAATATGGTTGAGTGTTAAGACTGGTATATACAGAGCGGGGTGGTATGCACTTAACCCAGTTGTTGGTGGGTCAGGGAAGTCTGCTCTGTGAAGTAAACCACACCTCCACCACTAATTAAAGAAGGAGTAAGAGTTACTGTGATGAATCAAGAGGAAACAAGTTTTTCAGGCAGAGGGAACAGAACAGCTGGTGCAAAGATGTGTAAAATGATGTGGTGGGGACCAGGGACTAGCAGTATGAGCAGTTGTAGAGCTTGCAGTATAAAGCCGAGAGCGCACCGGGACGTGAAACCAGAGAAGTGAGGTGGGAATGAGGCCTGGAGGATTATCATGGTGAGGAACTTGGGCTTTCTTAAGAGTGTAGTAGGTTGCCACTGAAGAGTTTGAAACAGTGGGGTGACATAGCCAGATGCGTGTATTACACAGGTGACTTGCTGAAGCAAGGAGGAGGTTGGATTTTAAGAGGGAAAGACAAGAGAGGCAGGGTCTCCATATTAGAGGAGGTGAAGATGTTGAATTTAGTCAGTGGACTAAATTTAGTCAATGGACTTCAGCTAGGTTAAGAGAAGGCAAGATTGCAAAAGTATTTTGGGAGGTAAAATTAACCAGACTTATGATGGGATTGGTTTAAAAGATGAGGAAGAGGCCTTGAGATGGATGGTAAGGGTAGCACAAGAGGTGTTGAGCATGATTCCTGAGCTGGTCCGATGGGAGTAGCATTTAGCTGAGGTAGGAAATACAGGAAGAAGAGAGGTTGGGAGGTGGAGAAAGGATAATGAGTTTGGTTTTGGATACATTTGGATACATTTTCATATATTTTTTAAATACTCATGGGGCTTTGTTAAGAAAACATTTGCATGTGCGTATCTGAGGCCTGAGGCCTGAGCCCTGAGGCAGGGAGATGAAATTTGGAGGTAAAGATTTGGAAATCAGTACATTGGTGGTTAAAACAGGATAGGATCTCCTGTGTAGAGCACAGAGAAAGAGAAGAGATGGTTAATGACAACTCCGGTGAGCATCAGAGCCCAAGAGGCGTGTGAAGAAGAGGATGACACTACCAACGATCTCAGCAAATCTCCGTGTTGAAGAATTTGGATAGAGAAACTATAGTATTAAAGCTGTAGATTCCAAATACCTCAGTATCAACATTAATAAAGTTTTTATTGGCAAAATTTGAAATGATAGAAATTCTCTTTTCCTGCCTCCCAATTTAGGATTCTTCAAGAAAGGTATTTCAGAGCTGGTGGGTAAAGTGAATTGTTACTATTTTCATTGGAGCATCATGGGGCAGGGCCACTTTTGCTGGTAAACAGAAATACCTGTAGTTGGATTAGTTCAAACACAGGGTCATTAGGAATCTATTATTTGCCTAAAATGTCATTGGCCCGTGTTCAAGTTTCAAGGAAAGGATGAGGGGGCCTCAGTGTCAGAATATCAGAGAAAAAGAAAAGTATTTGTGGATTAGATGGTATGGGGTCATGGTAAATTTTTAAAGAAGTGTTGGTGACTTGAATGAGAATATTGGAAATAAAGCCTGTAGATACATCAGAGGCTTTATTGAAAAGGAAAATAGTGGACCAGTGATTTTGTTAAGCCTGGGAGACTTAAATAGGTTGGTAAGCCAAGAGGAAAATTTACTCCTTGAAGATACAGAAAAGAGAACTGATTAAGCAGGACCCTGGAGGAGATGAGAAGAGCTTAGTAACACTAAGTTGGGAGTATAGTCTCTGAACAAAAGGAAGAGATTCTTCCTGAGAATGGGCAGTTTAGAGTTGAATAGCTTGTTATCTTGTGTTTTCCTGAAGTGGGAGGTGAGATGAACTGCAGAGATTAGGAAAGGGTTGGGGGATAAGGAGAGGCTAAAGGAGTGGTGGAAGTGCGGGCCAGTTGCTGTGAAGGCAATCTGTGGAACTAGAGAGCTAAGGAACAAGTTACAAGATCGTAGTCACATGGAAGATCCCAGTTAGTCCTCAATAAATTTACCAATCCACAGGGTGTGTAATTTTGCCTCCTAGCAATAGCAGCTGTCAGGGTGTGGGGATGGAAAGGGTTTGTTGTAGGATTCAGAGAATTTTCTGACCAATGTGCTCGCAAAGCTGTGGTGTATGTAAGATGATTTGTAAGACTGACGCATGTGGTCTAAGTTCTCCAGCTTTAATGTGCTTGTCACTTGGGCATCAGTAGGTCTCAGGTGGTGGTCTGTGCTGACAGTGCTGTTCCATTGCCACTTTGAGTAGTGAAGACACAGATTTGATTGGGGAATGAGGCTAGGAGAGGCTTCATCAGCCAGGAGAAAAGGACTGGAACATTCAGTTAGGTTGGAGAGAGGGGAGACAGGTGAGATGAAAACTGGAAGAATGAAAGGAGTTGTGGGCTGAAACTAGAAAAATAGGAAGACTTGAAGTGGAACAGTTCCAAGTGAGGATGCATTGTAGAATTTAGTCCTGGGTGTGGCAGCTAAAACGGGATGGCAGCAGAAACCCTGGGAAGCGGAGCAACCCTTTGAAGAGCAGACAGGATTTGGGGCAAAGTATGCAGTTTTCTAGTGAATAGGGGACCATAGGTGTAAAGAGATGATAGTTTGGAAGGACAGTGATGCACATTCAGGACTTTTTACAAGAGAACCTAAGTTGGAAGTTGTCTGAAAGTGGCCCCCAACTCAGAGAATGCCTTTCCTCATCACCAGTCTGCCCTACTGCATGTATAGTATCTTAGAATAAGCAGCCAACATGGTCTAGATGGTGAAAGTGAACACTGGAGAAGTTGAATCTCTAAGGGACATATATAAATTTAAGGGGGAGTTTTTTAAACTGTTTAAATGTGAGCCTCTTGATCTTAAAAAAGACTTAGTCTGGGGAGGAACTGGACTGGTAGAGCTATTGAGTTATTTTGCAATTATCAGAGCCCAGGACTTGTATAGAAACTGGCAAGTTCAATTATACCAGGAAACTGCAATTACAAGTGGCCTCAGGTTTGTGATTCTAGCAGAGAAACAGCAATGGTAACTTTCTAATAAAAGCAATAAAAACATCCAGCCATGGTGTGACACTACTCAGTAGGCTGGGTAAAGGTAGGGAAAAAGTAGTCAAGGTCAGACTTAGGATTTCTACATTCTCAAAGTAAAGGTTAGATAATCTGATCCTGCCCCTGGCATCTGTAAATGGGAGTAGAATTAACTTTTGAATTCTGTTCACTTTGAAAGAATGTGGCTGAAGAAAATACAAGAGTACTGTATTCCTTATATGGAGTCGTTGAACACAGCGGTACCATGAGGTCAGGGCATTATACTGCCTATGCCAAGGCCAGAGCTGCGAATAGTCATCTCTCGAATCTTGTTCTCCATGGTGATATTCCACAAGGTAAGAGGTCTTGGAAAATTCTGGTATTCAGATTATGGCAAAACCAAAAAAAATAATGAACTTGAATCTTCCCATTTAATTTTACTTCTCTCGACAGATTTTGAAATGCAGTCAACCAAAGGGCAGTGGTTTCACATCAGTGATACACATGTGCAAGCTGTGCCTACAACTAAAGTACTGAACTCACAAGCGTACCTCCTGTTTTATGAGAGAGTATTGTAATAGTTTCAAAGAGTGCTTCCTCCAGAAACAAGCTTATGGCTTTTAAAATGGCTGTAATTAATAATAATAATAAAGAAGTAAAGACTAACTGTAAAATCATGTTCACTTAAAATTAAAACACATGCCAGAAGAAATCATGTTTATTAAAATACTGAAGGGAAGACACCTAAAAATTTACAGTGGTTTTGTATTGTCATAGTGGTTTTTATTCTTGCTGCCAGTTTCTGGAAAGGATTCTGAATTCCTTAAGTCCTCTGTGCTTAAATATGTCTGGGTGGTGGGTTATAACATCAATAAACTGACTTACCCCCGAAACTTGTTTTATTACTTGGAGGATTTTAAGTTGTGTTTTTACCCTAGCAGGTAACATTTAAAAAAATGTTTCAGACTGGCTAATGAAATTTCAAGTGAATTTTTAAAAAGTGTTGGTTAGTTAAGCATAGACATTAGATATTGGCAGTAGTATATGCTTGGAAGAAATACTGTTCTCTGCAATTCTGATGGCATACAGTGTATGCAAGCTGGGGTGTGGGTCTAACTACACTTGTTCTGTGCAGTTGTTAATGGATCCAAGGTAGATACTCTCAAGTAATTTGATACCAGGTCCCCCTTAATGCTAGCATGCCAGAGAAAATGTCCTTTTCCCAAGCCAGCCAGCATTGCCACATTGCCTATAATCCTGAGTCTTAAGGATACCAAGCTTGACTAAACTTCCATCACTCTTAACACTTGCTAACCTTATCTAAAATCCAGTGAGTCCTGCTGCTTCCAAAATTCTTTTTAAATGCCAAAATATAAATTTTAATTTTCTTAAAATATAAAATTTCACTGTTACTAGGAGACCTTACATAACCAATACACATAATAGCACATGTACCATAAAAATCAGTTAACCTTTCATGTTATTTTTTCAAAACTCCATACTGATCTTAAGGAAAAATACCTACTTTATAAAAACTAACTTGCTTAATTTATCTGTATTAGCAGATAGATTTTCAGTTGCATTACAAATATCTTTATATTCTACTATGGACTGTGTTTTAAGTTAGGCATTACTAAAACAAGTTCTCTCAAGTCTTAGAATTCCCAGAGCAGAGCTGTGAAAAAAATTGAAATCCAGCAGTCTAGGGGACGACAGACTTCCTATAAAGGGACAGATAGTAAATATGGCTTTGTAGGCCATTTAGTCTCTATCACTACTTCTTTACTCTGCCATTTCCTTATAGAAAGCAGCCACAGACCATATGCAATTACACGAGCGTGGCTGTGTTCCAGACGGGCGGCAGGCCAGATGTATATTGGAACTGGCCCCTAAGTACTTAAGTGGCTTGCCTGAGGTTCCACAGCTAATTTCATTACCAAGGTTGAGACAAACAGATCATTTACATCCAAGAACAGTGCTCATCAGACAGTGAGGCTTTGATACCAACATGTTTATTGTATCATCCAGCCGAGGATATAAACACAAAACACTTCTTAATTTAAGGAAAATATAACATCAGGCAATTCCTAGACTACTACTACAAATGTAGTCTTCAACTATAGTAAAAACTAAGCCAGTCAGTCATTTTGGTCATCATCCCAGTCTTTCTTCCCACTTGGAGGTTTGGGCCCACCGGCTGGTTTTGCCATGATGATCTAAGAAAACAAAAACCACAAACACATTCTCATAAACTCTACCTTTAAAATGAAAAGAAAGAGTATTTTTATACTAGACTGATTCAAGATGAAACAATCCTCTCAATATAAGCCATCTGTTACACACTGCCTATGTGACACTACCACAGAGTTGTTAGCTTCCAGCAATGCTCTTGTGGACATTAACAGCAACAAATCCACACGTTAGTGAAGGGCATTCTGAGACATGCACTTCAGTAACTCAATAACCCTATGAACCAAATGAGAAAAATAACTGCATGCACTACTGTATAAATCTGTTTGGCACCTGATTTGCTATTTATATATGAAGTTCGTCTTGCCAGTCATCTTTATCCCAATCTCCTTGTGGTTTAGGAGCTTTAGGTCCACCTGCCAGTTTTGCCATTATAATCTAAATGGTTGGTACATAAATAATATATAAAAGTTCAACACTGAAATTTCATAGTACCTATAAAACCCATTCAAATGGCAGGAAGTGTGTATTCATAAACAATTATCCAAATATGTAGAGTTTTCTGCTAACTTAAAACCAAGAAGCCCCTTATTTGTCTAGAATGCACTAATCAAGTATGTTCCAAGTATGACCATCTAGCATTTTTATATAAAGGATTAATCTGGGAGAAAAAAAGAGGTAGTGGCAGCTTTGGCTCAAATTTGGAGAAGCTAAATTAAATTAGATGGCTTTCCTCAAAGTAGAACTCTCAAACTCTAATGTACATTCTGAATGTCTAAACTAAAAAGTATTCATTGCTTCCCAAATTTATAGGACTGAGAGACCTCTTTCTGTAGAACATCAAGGGGTTTGGCTGGTGTCTCAAGCAGCACAAACCGTAAAACATCTTCACAACCACTTCCAACAGATCAGCACCCCTTTTCAGAAGCTTCTACAGGAAATCTAAACTTTAAAATTCTTCATACAACATTTTATTAACTGAGGTTAAATTCAGACTGACTTAAAGGCATTATTAGGTACAGTTTAGAACCAGAGTAGAGCTTGATAAAACCAAACAATCCAGAACAGTTCTCAAACTACTAGTAGGCATCAGTCACTGAAGAGCTTATTTAAAACAGACTGCTGGGCCTCCTCCCGGAGTTTCTGATTCAGTGGGCCTGTTAGGGGCTCTGAGAATTTTTGTACTTTTAGCAAATTCTTAGGTGATCTTGATGCTGTTGGTTTAGGGACTATAATTTCAGAAAACACTGAACAAAGATGAATCCAGTCCTATGTTCTTCAGCACTTAAAATTCGATTCCCGAATATATACTACATATTATTTACAACAATCTTAAGGAATGTAAGTTCATTACAGTAGCAAACTGGTTACTGATAGATGGGTTCTTCAGGTATGTATTTGAAAAAAGGACACAGATACATAATGAACATCCCCCTCTACTAGAAAACAAAACACAGGCTTCCCAGTTTAAAACCAAAATTGTGAAGTATCTTTGTGATCCAGGTACTTGCATTATTGTATTACTGTCTCACTTGGGTAACTGACATTCAGGAAGTTCCTCAGTTAAGGAACTTCCACTATTAGAATTCCAGTTTACTTCATGCCTCCAATGTACTTAGCTTCTCCTGCTCCTGCTATTTTTAATGTAACTTTTAGAGCAACCATTTTCTTCGGCTTGCATTATAACTATTTGAGAACTCCAAAACCATATTATGCTGGAAACTACTTGATACAGATATAAATACACCCTATTAATAAATCCAGGACATGAACATTCAATCTGTTTATTTCCAATGAGCTGAAACTAGATATCCAGTTCCCTTTTTTGGTCGTCTCACGGACCACAAGTAGGAAAAAGTTCTTATTTTTACTGCAGCAGAATGTTTTAATCTCTTTTTCATTAATTTCTACTTATAACTTGCTTCTCCCCAGGTTCATCTGGCATGATTTTCACCTAATGGATTTTTATAACCATGCCCCTTCACAATTACAATTTTCTATTAAGTACTTGAAAAATAACTCATTGCTTAACAATTAGTTCTAGAACTCTCTAGGAAAATGGATTTCACTGTGTACCAGAAAACACCTTTTGAAAAACCTCTGAATTCAGGATTGTATCCGAACCTAGAATAGTCTTGATCGTTTTCCTCTTTGCCACAGTATCCTTCCCACCACCCCCTACAAAAAAAAAAAAGGCAGAAATACTATGATTTTTAACATTTTTCTTTTAGATCTTCAAAACTTAATTTGTCATAGCAAAAAATTCTATGCACCTAAGTCCTATCCTTTCCATGGACAACCAAAATTTCCATTTTCCTTAAAGCTGGTGGCACATGTGCTTCAGGGCTTCATGGACCCTTCCATGTTATGAAACAATGAACTCCCTTCTCCACCTTATTTGTAGAAATGGGTTTCTAGGCTAAAAAATATCTGAAAACTATGAACTTAAACTTGTTTTATCTGTTCCAGTTTAAGAGTGGCAAAAATTTCTTTCAGTGAAAGGATACTCACTGAAGCTGTAATATACTAAAAACAATTTAAAACTGTAATAGAAAACCCAAACTTTTTGGGGGGGGGCACTATTAACATATCTACAATGAAAAATAAAGGAATAGACCTTTGGCTAGAATAACCAGTTCTATCAAAATACACTACTGAACCATATGAAGATGAGTATTTTGAAAGATCAAAATTTCTTGTTACTCACCTGATCTACTCTGAGTACAGTGACGGCAGCATTCGTAGCCAGTTTGATAGCCCAGTATTTTCCCAAATAAGTGTCTAGAATACCAGCTTCCAACATGTCCTTTACAGCAGGAACTTCAGCCTGTCAACACAAAAACAATTTTCATTTTTTCACTTTAAATTGCTGAAAGTGAAAATGTGTTTAGGGCAGTAATAAAAACACACGGCTCCTTATGTAGGAAGCTGCCAGGTGAAAGTACTTCCCTACGCACACTATAAAACAAAGGTTATTTAAGGAAAACAATCAGACAAACTGTCAAAGCTTTTGTTAAGAAAATCATTTGTTTACAAATCAGAACATTTTCCAAATAACTTTACCTTTTAAACTTACTACTTCCATTTTTATGTTTTATATTTACCAAATAAGTTCATAGTGTTTGTTTTTTCAAATACCTCAATATCTAATCCAACATTCTTATTTCCTTCTTGATGTACTGCATAAAGTTTGGAGATGACTTCATTGGCCTTAACTCCAGAATTTTCTGCCAGTGCCCGGGGAATAGCTTCAAATGCCTCAGCGAACTTCTTAATGGCATACTGTTCAAGTCCAGGACATGTCTGAAACAAAAATGTGTTTAGCACTGTATTTTATTCAAGGACCATGAAAAAGTCAATTTATCCAGAGAACGCTATACCTCTCCATATGATGTGATCTGTTTGGCTAACTCGATTTCTGTTGCTCCACCTCCAGGAACAAGGCGTTTATCCTAGAATACATAGTAAAAAAAAAAAAATTACTAAGAAGCAATTCGTAATTTTCTAATCCTCTCAGATTAGAAGATTAGATTCTAAAATAGAGCTTTTAATCAAGCACTGTTACACAAATTCTAACGACAAATTTTATACAATGGAGTGATTTGGGCAAATTACTTTACAGTACATAGTGACTGGTATATGAAAAGGGAGAGGGGCGCCTGGGTGGCTCAGCGGGTTAAAGCCTCTGCCTTCAGCTTGGGTCATGATCCCAGGGTCCTGGGATCGAGCCCCACATCGGGCTCTCTGCTCATCAGGGAGCCTGCTTCTCCCTTTCTCTCTGCCTGCCTCTCTGCCTGTCAAATAAATAAATAAAATCTTAAAAAAAAAAAAAAAAAAAGGGAGAACCAAAGTTAATTGAACAGCATACAATACCTTACACCTGCATTTCAAAGGACACAGCACTAAGAATAATGCTTAAGCAACTAAAGGTACATTTAAAATAAAAAACCGTAAGCTAACTTTTTCAAACAGTTAAAAGTTACTTTGCATAACCATTTCAGAAAACTATATACTCATCAGCAATGAACACTTCAATCTTAAGTAAAAAAGGTACTTTGCTTTTACGTAAGCCATTCATTTTGAAATTCTCTGCCAACTATGTTTGAAGCTTTACAAAGTACTAAATTAAAGATTATTGCGAATACTGACCCTTGTGAGAACTTTGAAAGTATTAACACCATCATCTACTGCCCTTTCTATATCATCCATCAGATTGTCTGTGGAGCCTCGAAGCACTATGGTAGAAATGGCACCATCTTCCTTTTCTGTCAAGAAATTTAAATAGATTAATACAAGCAAATTAACGCCCTATACTTACATAAACGTACTTGACTATTTCTACATACCATGCTTAAAAACCACCACCTGTGTGTCTCCAACTTCTGAGAGGTAAACACTGTCACAATGTCCCATTTCTTCAAGGACAGGAGGAGTCTAAAAGAAAGCGACTGTTGTAATAAAAGTAATTCAAATAGGTTCAACTACATTTTATAATGTTGTCCAAAATACATACCAATCTAGGAAGAGCTGTAGCACCGACTGTTTTACATAGCCTTCTGAGATCCCATTTTGAATTCAACCTTAAAAAAAACCCGAAGACCTTAAGAGAAGTTTTAATTCGATCAGATAACATAACAAAATGCAGAGATGAAAGAGGGAAACTACACTGGTCCCCTAGTCACATTCTTGATTCTGAATTTAAGTTCAACAGGTCTGGACTACACAGTGCAATCCAGACATAGACGTATGTAGATGGCATTATTCTAGAATTGGGAGAGTTCAAGTCTCACTAGAATGTCAGGATTTATAGTCCTAAAACACTAAGGCAGGCCTGGTATATAGAGAACTTCTCCCTTACTCTGGCAATGGCATGAGTCCCGAGGAAGAGAAGAGATTTACACTGCATATCCGGTCAGGTGCTGGGAGGGGTGGGAATGGGTAGGTAAGTTGTCTCCTGTCCCCATAAATGGGTTTATGGGTTAGAAGTTACATTCCAGATCCCATATCTAGACTGTGTGCCCCAGGCTTGAGTCTGGTCTCTCAAATTGAGGCTTCTGCCTGGAAAGCTTTTTCTGTTCTCTCTTCAAATAGTATCTATTGATTGGTCCTTCAGCTCTCAGTATAAATACAAGTTTTCTCACAGGTGTTTCTTGTTCCTCTAGATCAAGTTAAATCCTATTATTTGATCCAATGTCTTCAACTTGCCCTTTTTTAACAGTCATGAATTCATGGTGTACTGAAGGTGTTTGGTGTTTCACCATCAAAAGGCTATTTACAATACATGTTAATAGAATGCAGCTCTCACCTCACCAACATGATATTGTACTTGTTTGCATAATGAAGAGCCATGTCTGCCACTTTGCCACCCGTTACGATGACATTTGCTCCAGTATCAGCTATTGCTTTAACTTGTGCATCCATGAGATTTTCTTCTCCCTTGCTAAAATTCATCAATTCTTCAGCCGTCTTTATCAATACCGTTCCCTAGCAAAACAAACAAGGACGCTCCTTAGAACCATTTTACTACTTTGGTGGTTGAAGTCACAGAGTAATATTGTACTAAATAAAGATGTGGAAAAAATATGAAAATAATTATACACGAGTTATGAAACAATATGAAGTGTGTACGAAACTCATAGAAACTCAGCTTACTACTAGAGCCCCCCACTCCTAAAACTGATGCATTTTGCTGTCCAACTTAACCAACAGGCACTTTGTTGGTTAAGTTGGGGAAACACTGTTATTCTAGATATGTTAGGCACGTGGTCTTGGCATTACTGTTAACAAACGTGAATTAATGTACCCAAAGCACTGTGTTGTGGTTCTTGAAGTTTTTCTCAACTTTTCTAAAATGACTCCCCCTGGCCCATCTATAACCTGTGACACTTTAAAAACCATTGAATCAGATTTTAAGAATTCTAGGGACAAAGATGGAAGTGACTTACAAACAAGAACTTCAAATCTTCCTAAGGTTTTTTTTTTTTTTTTTTTAAAAACAAACCTATCATTTTCATATATTAGCATGTTTTTGTTTCAGGATGCTACAGGATCTCAACTTCTAGATATATTAATGAAGAGCACACAGTACTCCCATTCCATGAGCATTTCACTTGCAAGAACCACAAGGAGTCAAGAGCTGTACATGAGAACATAAACTATACTGCTACCATTTCATATTTTAAACTTAGTATGCGAATTGGGTATCCAAAAAAGAATAGGAGTCTGATTCTAAGAAACAAATACAATCCTGGTCTTCAATAATTATGCAGTAGAGCAATCTTTTCCTGAAAATTTAAGAATCATAAAACATTAATCTGAAAATGCAATGTCAAATTTTTACCTTTAAGGTTTTGAAGTCTACATACCTTAGTTTCAGTTATCATGCCATCAAAAGGACAAGAGTACACTGCTATTTTGGCATTTTTGACAGATGTTACATCACCTTCGGTTTCCTTCTTAAAAACCATGCCATGTAATACTGAAGATGAACAGATGCCAGAGCCCTAAGATTGAATATAAAAATCATCAGTGATCTCATCAAAATAACATTAGGGCTCAGCTGCTGATTTGACATGTACCCAAAAGACCTGCTTCTAAATAAAGTAAGATATTAAGGCAGTGACTCTTGGAACTAAGGAATGGGGTGGTGGATAGAAAGCACATGAGTCTGCTGAAGGTAGAAATCACTGAAAATGAGCCACTGTTAAAGAAGGGGGTGGAGGCTGGGGCGCCTGGGTGGCTCAGTAGGTTAAAGCCTCTGCTTTTGGCTCAGTTTATGATCCCAGGGTCCTGGGATCGAGCCCCGCATCGGGCTCTTTGCTCGGCAGGGAGCCTGCTTCCCTTCCTCTCTCTCTGCCTGCCTTTCTGCCTACTTGTGATCTCTGTCAAATAAATAAAAAATAAAAATCTTAAAAAAAAAAAAAAAAAAAAAGAAGGGGGCGGAGGGTTTTCAGTGCACCAGGTGCAACCAAAGACAGAGAACAACTGCTCTGAGCCATTCATTCTCTCACTCACCTAATACTCGGTGCCAATGTAGCTGGCACAGCTGTTAGTACCAGGGACAGAAGAGGGAACAAAGCAAAGTTTCTGATCTTACAGGCTTACAATTCACTGGGGGAGGAGAGGGTAGTGCATGGAGTCAGAAAATGCACAACATCTATATAAATACACAACAGGTATATTTATATAAGCTAAACTCAAAATGAAATTCTAAATTTTCCTATAGGAAACACAATTTTTTAAATAAACAAATACTCTTAGTATTGCATTAAGATGTGAATTCTAATATTGTATTGAACTTCATCTCATTTAAAATTAGCTTCTAAGTTTATTATTTTAATTCAGCACACATTTAGAACATAAGACATATTAATATTTTGTTTATACACTGTTCTCAATCTTCAACTTGTCATGGAAAGATAAAATGTAAAGTTTTACAAGGAGATAATACATCAACACCCTTGAAAAATTTAACCTACGAATATAAAAAGTTACAAATGATAGCTCAAAAGGCACAAAGTCCTAAATGCGCAAAACCTGGAGTAAAATTTAGATTTGGATCAACATATTTTTTTCTTTCTGCAAAATGTAACTGACCTTTGTAGACAACACTGATGCATTTTCTAAACTTACCAGAATCTTACAAACTCTGATGTTATCAACATTGAAATGGCCAGAATCAGGAAAAATAGACACTGTTAAGAAAATGAGACATATCAAAAGATATTTTGGAACAACAGACAAAATATCTTACTTTCATTAAGACATTTTTATTTTGGAGCTTTTCATTTACCAATATACTCACCACATGCTTGAGCAATAAGCTTGGCCAGAAATACTTCATTACCGTATTGTTTACTCATTATGGAGGTATGAAGCAGAGAGGATACTTCATCAACATCCCGAAGATTTTTTGCAGAACAACATACTAAATCAGGAAGAATCTCATGGGCTTTTCTGCAGGCTATTTCATAACCTTCTATGACCTTAAAGAGCAAAAACATTTCCTTAAAAGATGTAATTTTGACATGACTTTATAAAGCACAGATTATTTTGGTAACCCAAGAAATACGGGTATTGGTTTTCCAAATAAAATGGCAAAGTATACTTTCAGAATAAGCATTCATGGCATAGCCTACTCATCAAGAGTTTAGGCTTTTGTGATGGCCTAAATTTGAATGCTAACTGCCACTTACAGATTTTTCTAAGTTAAATTTCCCTTTCCTCATCTAAAATAAAATAGAACTTTAACAGGCCAGACTCACAGGTTTCTTATAAGAATAGGATAAGATACTACAAGTAAGGCATGTGTGCTCCAAGAGGTGGCGCAAGTAAACTGTTACTACAATGATGATTCTTACAGTGTGTGTATACAAGGGCACAAATTAAATAGGAGTACGTTATAAAATTCACACTTGCCTCTGAAACTGACAGGCCAATTCTCAGAAGCTCTTCAGCTAGTTCCAGAAGGGCTCCAGCAAATACCAGAACAAAGTTCGTGCCATCTCCAACCTCTTGTTCTTGCATGTGAGAGGCCATTACAATCATTTTTGCAGCAGGATGCTGCACCTGGTAGAAAGGATTTGAATTTAAACATTGAAACATTTGATCCTTAAGCAACACAAAATTTTTCAGTTCCATTCCCTCTTAAATTAAGACTCCAATCTCCCCATGGGCTAGGTAGCTCCACTCAATCATACTGCTACATATTACTTATAGTGTAGTCACAAGAAGACAATCCAAATCCCTCTGAGACTATCAGCACAAATGCATCACAACAAATGAAAACAACCTAAAACTGCACCTTCCTTTGATGGTCAGTCATCCAGTACAGATGTCTCTGCACGTAAGATTCAGGAAATTACATGCATATTTGAGAGAGAGCATGAGCATGTGTGCACGTACAAGTGGGGGAGGGACAGAAGAAGAGGGAAAGAATCCTCAAAAGACTCCCTGATGAGCTGAGAGCCCTATGCGGGGCTCAATCCCTAGACTCTTGAGATCAAGACTTGAGTTGAAATCAAGAGTTGTACACTTAACTGACTGAGCCACCCATGCTCCCCATCATTAGTTTTATTAAGGCAATGTTCCCATCATCCCTGAATAACTCCTGAGACCATCTTACTGTCCAACATTAACAATCACAATGACTAGTCCTTCCGTAAACATCTTATGGAATTAAGTTTGTTTTGTTCACCATATTATTTTAAAAATGCATTGTTATTTAAGCAAGTAGAGAAATGTTAACATACTTACAGTTTCATCTGAAAAGATTAAGCTCTAATGCTCTAAGAAAGAAGTTCAAGAAAATTCCTTGAAGTTGAAAATATCTTTCAGCTACAAAGCAGCTAGCTGAAGAATGGCTCTCTGATGTTCAGGTGCCAGACCTTTCTCACAACCTTGCCAGCAGTTACCTATTCTATAGACTCTAACATCAAAACCGTAGGTGAACAAAGCAAAATGCCACCAACTTTTATTTTCACAAAGCCAAAGAAATAGTTTGTATTTTTTTTTTAAATCACTGTTTTAAGTACTAGCGATTTCTGCATTATGGAATAATTCACTTCAGTGTCCTACTCTATAGAATGAGACAACATACTCAACTTAATAGGATTATTAGCAAATATACTTTTATCACAACAAATTCTCCATAAATTAATAACTTGTGAGGTTTTTAAATCAAGTGGTGAGATGTTAAAACTAAAAAAGACTCCATAATTAAGAAAATCAATATAATAAACTTTGAAGTTGGGGCAAAAAAGTTCCTTATTACCTTAAGAGATTTTTCCTATGTCAATCTATACTTAATTTTTGACATCACCAAAACATTTCTTGGCTTCAAAGAAATAACTTACTTCTAGCTCTCTTAAAATAGTGGCTGCATCATTTGTCACAAACAACTTCTCCAGGTGGTTGATAACCATTTTGTTCATTCCTGAAAGAAAGAAAAGGAAAAAAAAAAAAAAAAAGAAAAAGGGATGAAAAAAGTTAGAAAAAGAAATTCATTATCACTCAAATCTTTCTCCAAACACCCCAAAAAACCTAGTCAAGAAATATAAGCTTGTATCTATTTCTTAAAATAACTATAAAAATTTGACATGTATTATTTACTCTTTAAAACTATGTTAGCCTAAGGGCACTTGGGTGGCTCGGTCATTAAGCGTCAGTCTGCCTTTGTCTTAAGTCATGTTCCCAGGGTCTTGGGCTCCCTGCTCAGAATGAAGCATGCTTCTCCCTCTCCCACTCCCCATGCTTGTGTTCCCTCTTGCTGTCTCTTGTCAAATGAATAAGCAAATAGAATCTTAAAAAGTAAAACAAAAAAAAACTATGAGCCTAAACGTACTCCCATAGTATTCCTGTCCTTTCTAACCTCCTACTGTTTATTAGGGAGGCTATCTTCTCATATTTTTGTTTAATAAATGTAAATTACATTAACATGTAGAAAGACCAAAATAATCTACTTAAAAATATAGTTTTATTGCTTTCCATATATGTGTATCAATTAAATTCAGCTGATGGTAGGAGGCAAGAGAGAACTTTCTCCCTTACATTAGGTATCCTCTCAATAGTGAAGGCACCATAATTTTTCTATCATCGTAATGACAAAAAGTAACACTGATTCCTATTTTTCTAAAGAGATCTGAGTTGCTGGTTAAAAATTGAAAACACTACACTGGTGGCAATGAACTACGAAATTACTTCTGTATGGTGGCTAGAACGCAGTTTATGTATAATATTCTTAGAATAAGTTTGAAGAAGCAAGTACGCAAAATTCGATCACTGCATCTTTTAAAACATGAATTTGGAAATTACCATTTGGTCCATATGCTGTACGAGTTGTTTGGGCAAGCTCCTTGCAAGCCTGAATGTTCCTGTACACAGCCTCTTCTAATCCAGAAAAATGCTATAGAACAAAAACAAAAACAAAACCTCCTTCTAGTTAGAAGAGTGAAACACAAGGTTTTTCTTCATCTTAAAATGGGGATAATTATAATAGTATTACATATAGGACTGCTTAAAGAATAATCAAGCAAGGCTTATGTGAGGAAAGCATGGTGTTTGGTATTCATAAATGGTTCATAAATTTGCTCACTGGTTGAATAAACTGACATTTTTAGGGACCACAGGTACCCACTTACACATCAAAACATAAAATGTATGGTTTCTTTTTTAAAAATGTAGTGAAAAGTGCAGGAAAGAACACTGTGACTGATCAGTGAATGCAGATGAGGTATTTCAGGTAAAAATGCCTTTTCAGAGCTTATCATTACTTTTTGACTAAATATGAAAACATGGTATGAATACTTTTCTGATTGTGTTAGGGATCTGAGCATTAGAAAACCAGCAGTTTTCTGTTTTTTGGGAATTTCCACTTAACATACCTGCCCCCAAATGTTTATATGGACTTCTGAGTGCTTCTGTGAACTGGAACACAATTCTAATGCATCCATGTTGAAAAATTGCTGAATTGCTCACAATGTGAAAACTCTCAAACTTTACACTGGATTTCAATTAGAACTGGGATTTACTTACGGCCTCAGATGGGTTTCATGAGCCTCCTGTTTGTTCAGTGAGCATTTTTCTAGAGTTGCTATGCTCAATTTAGTAGTCATTAACCACATGCAGTTTAAATAATTAACATTAAAAATTCAGTTTCTCAATCCGTTCAGGTGTCCAGCAGACACATGTGGCTAGTGGATACTGTATTAGACAGAACTGATACACTGCTTCTCACCTTTCGGCTAAGATCAAGCAGACAGAACTGCTACAGAACATTTCCTTCATCATGGGTAGTTCTAGGAGACAGTTGTGCTCCGGAGCACAAGGTGTAGCTTTTATAATATTCATAAAAGGAATGTGATCTGCACAAGGTTAGTAACTGTTGCTTTAGAAGCACTGTCTTCAGAGTCAAGAGCTGAACTCTTCCAAGAGCATTTAGTCTGATCTGGCTTAACTGCTGGCTTCTTCCCCTCACCCATTCTGAGGAACAGCCATGTGATCACAAATCAGATTCCATCAATGGTCTTCCCTCACTCCTAGGATAAAATGTAAACCCTTCCTCCGGGCTAAAAGGTCCTACATGTTCTGGTCCTTAACTACAGGTTCTTTAAGTTCATCTCTCTCACCATTCTTGCGTTCCCTTAATGAGGTTCAACCCCATCACGTTTCTTACCGTTTTCTTTAACAGGTCAAAACTCACTTCATCTTTAGGGACTTTGTACCTACAGGTTTCTCAGCCTGGAACACTGCCCTGTTTAATCTTGGCTGGTCCCTTCTGTCACTTGGTACTGAGCTAAGAGTTCTTCCTTGAACATCTTATTTATTTGTTCTATCTACCCATGACCCTTCATTTTTTGTGCGGGGAGGGCCGACTTTCTTACTTCCTGCCATTCCCTACTACAGTACTTTCTAACGAATCTTTTGTCATTGCTATTTTTTTTTTTACAATACTTTCTTTTATCAGTACCTGAAACTATCCTTACTTGTCTCAAAAGAATAAAAACTATGAAAAATCTTCAGTCTCATTTTTTAGAATAGTCAATGTCATTACCAGCAAAGCTGTTTTACTAGTATTTACAACGAACCCTGACATTCCATATACTCATGTTATCCCAAGTGTATTCTGCCATCAAGAACCTAGTTCCCCAACACTGTTACTGTAAACTGAACCACAATGATCTGTATTTCTTTAATCAGGTACAGGAAATTTGGCAGACAAAAAAGGAAGACTTCGAATACAAGAGTCAAACTTATTGGTAGTATATGAAGATATTTTAAAGAACTTATGCTTTTGAAATAATGTTCCTGATCTGACCACAAAACAAAAAGTCTTAATTAGTCCAGGGCGACCCTTATACTTACAGTAAGTCAGACAATTACACCTCAAAGGTACCACCATCCTTTTCTTAATTTAGAGACGAAAGCAAGAGCTGAGGGCAGGTTTTACATCAAACCAGCTAATCTAAGTTGGGCCCAGAACCCAACCGGATTGAGGGTAACGTTTTTTCCCACCATAACGAACTACTGCAAGCGAACCGAGGAGCCCTCCCTCTATCCCTCACGGAAGGAAAACTGTCCAGAACTGGCCCGGGTCCCCCTCCTCTCCTCAGATGACTGATCCCACTCCCTGAACTGTGTCAGTCGGCTTCGCGGTTCCCGAAGCATTTCACTTACGTTATTCGACTTCACCCTCAAAACACCCTTTACCCGCGGAGACCCGAATGAGCCCCGTTTTAGGGATGGAAGAAAACGCATCAGCGGTTTTCCGCTTGCCCGCCTAGAAAGCACAGGACGCGAATCCTGCGGCCTTGCCTCTCTCTCGCCGCCTCTACCCCTTCGACCATTCCCAGGGAAGGGAATGAACGAAAATGCCCGTGGGTCTCGGAGGCCAAGCCTCCCCCCTCCCCCCAGAACACCTCCCTTTCTGGAATCTTCCTTTTCTCCGACCGCTGTGCTCGCGGAGCACACCCAGACTGTTAGCAGGCCCCTCTCCTTCGCTCCGGCCGCCGCAGCGCTACGGCAACTCTCCTACCTCACTCCCTCTTCCTCCATGCCTTACCTTCGCCCCCTCCTTGAGCATCTGGGCAAAGCCCGGGGCCTTGGGGACGTGAAGCGCCATGGCCTCTGCAGGTAGCCTTTCACGCGCTCGCTCAGAAGATCCCAGAGGAAGCGAGGGGCACGCAAAGCCTCCTGGGGACGCAGCGTGCGGTGACCTCACGCTCCTCCTTTCTCTCCAACTGGACCCGCCTCTTCTCTAGCATCCCGATCTGAAGCCTCGCGAGAAAAAACAGCGTCTGCAGCCAGAACTGAGTTGACGATCCTCGATCACGTCGATCGATTGGGCCGATCGCAGAGCGCGCCCTCGATTTTCCTGGTAGCGCGCTGGCTCCGGGGTGTTAAACCCCTTGCTGAGGCTCCAAGGTCGGGACGTTTGGTTTTTGCCATATTTGACCTGGAACCCACTCCTTTTAACATTAACTTGCACGAAATCTTCCAGACCCACCCCCAACGTCAGGGCAGTTGTGCTTTTTTTTTTTTTTTTTCTCCCCAGCTTTATTGAAGTATAACATATGAATTGCAAGACATACGCAATGTACATTGTGGTGATTTGATATAAATATCCGTTGTGAAATTTTTCAGTATGATTTCCTCACTGTAAAAAGGATTAATGATGGTACTTTATTTATTTATTTTTATTTTTCCCAGTTGTGCCTTTTTTTTTTCCGAGGCAGAGCACCTGCTCTCCTCCCCCTCGAAATACCTCGCTGGGCGTCGGCTCCGTCTCGGGCATGTGGGAAGCGCTAGCAACTTGAGGGCGATAAATAAAATCTGTAGGAAAAGCTATACACCGAATGCTCCGGTGTGCCAGCCTCGGCTGGTGACGTGCGGTGTTTCAGCTAGTGGTCGATCTTAGGAATTAGCTTTGACCATCTCCGTCTGATACAGGGAAGCCGACGTTTACAAATGGTAGTTTGTTCAATATCACAGCGCTAGAAACGTTAAACTTAGGATTCCTAACCCTGATTACAAAATACGGGTTCTTAACCATTAACTGTATTCCTCTGTTCTGCTTCTTCTGGAGATATAAATCTTTTTTATGGTCCCAGAATCTTAAAACCCGATCTCTGTGTCTTCCCACATCACCATATGGCTCATTTCAAAAAGGTTGAATGGTAATAGAATATTTTTCGGAATAATTTCACTCTGTGAAAGTAACCCACTCTTATGGAAAATACAGAAAACCTGAAGCAGAACGTTTTAACTCCACTTTTGTCCTTTGACTCGGACACTACCAAATTGTATATTTTTAAAAATTGGAACAGATTTGCTGTGCCTTAAGGAATACTCAGATGCATCAAGTGTATCATCAGTAATAATGTCTAATAAGCACTTAAAATACATAATTATTGAAATAAAAACGTTTTTGCCATATCAAATCAACAGATGTGTGTGAACCACTTGTTGGGAAACATTACAAGAGATCAGGGATTCTCGAAGTGTGGTCCAGGCACCTCTGAGGCTCGCCAAGACCTTAGGGTCCTCAGTAGAAAACGATTTTTATAAGACTAAGACATGTGCTTTTTTAGTTGGGGAGTTTTCCAGAAATTCACTATGTGTGTGATTAAAATAGTTTGAATGTAAAGGGCATGAGAAGCCAGTTTTTTTGTTTAGTTTTTTAAATTAATAAAAATAAAAATAGGGGCGCCTGGGTGGCTCATGGGTTAAAGCCTCTGCCTTCGGCTCAGGCTATGATCCCGGAGTCCTGGAATCAAGCCCCACGTCCGGCTCTCTGCTCAGCAGGGAGCCTGCTTCCTCCTCTCTCTCTGCCTGCCTCTCTGCCTACTTGTGATCTCTGTCTGTCAAATAAATAAATAAAATCTTTAAAAAATTATAAAAAAAATTTTAAGCCAGTTTTTAATTTATAATACAAATATTGATAGCTTTAACCCACATAAACAAAAGCTCTTTGAGAACCTCAATTTTTAAGAGTAAAGGAATTCTAAGACTGAAAGGTTAGAGAACCATTGCAATAGATCAGTCTGGAATAACAGAACAACTCGAAACTTTCTTTTCTTTTCTTTTTTTAACTCGAGATTTTCTTATGGATTGGCTAAGAAATAAAAAGTTTCATTCATCTGACTCAGAGCATTACTTATAAGCATAACAACACAAAATAAAACTGAAAGGGGTTAAAAATGACACTTGGTGACACTTTATTAAAAATGACTAAGAATCAAATTTGATAAGTACTATGGAAAATTAAACTTGACAACAACTATTGATGAATCAAGTTTCCATGGAAAGTTTATGGTGAAAAATTAATCTCATTAATTTTAGCAAATTGAAAGGAAATGGAAAGAATTGAAATCAATTAAAATCTTCTGTATGGTAATTTACCAAAGAATTAAATTGATTTAATTGCAAGGAAAATGCTTTTTAGATGAAAAAATTTATTGATTTTTTTTATTATTTGGGTTAAATTGTGTATTCATCATTATGGAATCAAAACCTGAAGGACAAAATTTCTGCTGGATCCTAATAGTAGGTCAAATATTCTTCACTTGGGATAGAAAATAATAAATTCTTAATATGGCTTCAAGCCCTAGGTCCTGGTCCCTGGTTATCTCACATGTGTCTTCTTCTTGGCTTTCTCTCTTGGCCATAATAGTAGTTCATCCTGTCTGCTTTACTCTTCTGCCTCAGGGTATTAGCCTCTACTGTTCTCTCTACCTAGAATGGTCTTCTACTCCCTTTGGCTGAGTTAATTGTACTTCAGTAAACAGATACTTTCCTTAGAAAGCCTTTGATGATTCTCAAGACAGTTCCCACTGGTTACTTTAATAGCTTCTGTGTTTCCCCTTCATACCATTTGTCACAACTGAAAGACAAAATTAGTTAAAATCTTTCCTAACCAATAGGTGGGTGCTGTGTCACCAGCACCTATTAATGGGCATGGAGTAGAGAATGGATGACCAAATGCGTGTGCAGAATAGAAGACCCAAGAATTGGGAGATGAGGTCTCTGTTCTTCCCATCTAGACGTACATGCTGTAAAACCAGAGAACAAAACAGAGCAATCAAAAGAGTCTGCCCATGAGTTTGCAAAAGGCCAAGGAGACTGTAGGTGTCTGTTACTTTGATTTAAGAACTCAGGTCCCTCTTGTTAAGTGCCAACTGAAAACATAGCTTCCACCATCTAAAGACCTGGAAGATCAGTGGTGCCTCCCTCTGAACTGCCCCCACAGGTCCACTCCTGGCTGGAGACATCTAAGCCAACTCAGAATTTTGATAAGGACTTAGGTCACCAATTGTTTCCTGTGACCATTTCTATTTTTTTTTCCTCTTTCGTTTGCCTAAAGTTTTAATTTCTGTGCTTCAGAATTGTCTTAACATTTTTGCCTTGTCTGTATGTTTTAATTTGGGGGGGTATTCTTATTTAATTTTACTGGTTCCTGTTAGATCTTTAATCTTTAGGCTTTTCTTCTACCCCTCCCACCTATTTGTATTATTTATTTCATGTCCCTGTATCTTACTTTTCACTATTTTCCTTTAAAGTTTAATTCTTTTTATTTGGTCTGGATTTTTAAAAAAGACTTATTTATTTGAGAAAGAGACAGAGAGAGCAAGAGCAAGTGGGAAGGGCAGGAAGAGGGAGAGAGAGAGAATATCTCAAGCAGATTCTGCACTGAGCAGAGGGCCTGGCGCAGGGCTCATTCTCAGGAGCCCAATATCATGGCTTAAGCAGAAACCAAGAGTTGGACACTCAAATGACTGCACCACCCAGGTTTCCCTGGTTTTGGATTTTATGATTTATTTTGTTTGGGGTTATTATTTTACTTCAATTTTCTTGTTAAAATCTCTTAATTTCCCTTTATACATTTAAATGTGTTTCTTTGTTTTCTGTTTTAATCAAATCTAGTTGGGTTTAAGGAACCTGTGGCTCCCTTTCCATGTTTGGAAACAATCCCACAGGAGTCAGGCAGCTGGGATTCAGAGTATCACCGGACTTTGGAGGCTGTGGCTTAGTTTGAACGCCCAGACATGCTTGTCCATGATTGGTGCTTTGCACTGAATTGCAGTAGATAAACAGAAAAAAGGGTGATAGACTTTTAATGGATTAATTCCATGTAATCAAGAAAGCTGGTTCCATGTCAGTCACCCAGCAAACCAGATCATTCCTTGCAATCAGGGAGAATAAGAAGTGAAGCAGCAGGCCAGGATGATTGGGGAGAACCAGGGGAGTGCAAAAAAGCACCCACCTCCTTATAGGTGACTTTATGTCTTTATTTCCTTCTAAACCTCCCATTCTTAGCCTGTTATCTGTGGAGTAGAGATGAGGCTGTGGAACATTGAGCCTCAGACTACCATGTCTGTTTCACAGCGTTACAAGTTTCTGTCAAGCATGCATGAGGTAAGGAAGTTCAAGACCAAGCCCTAACTGATTTAGATGGTGAAGATACAATGAGCCACTTTTAGAATCAGTTTATTACTGACATTGACAATGAAAGGAAAATTAGCCAAAGGTGCCAGCTCCCTGGAGTCATTGTCCCACATGCCAAAAAGAATGACACTGTGGGCACCTGGGTGGCTCAGTCAGTCAAGCAACTGCCTTCAGCTCAGGTCATGATCCCAGGGTCCCAGGATGGAGCCCTGCATTGGGCTGCCTGCTCAGCCGGGAGCCTTCTTCTCCCTCTCTGGCTCCCCCTGCTTGTGTTCCTTCTTTCACTGTGTCTCTCTCTGTTAAATAAATAAATAAAAATAAAATCTTAAAGAAAAAAAAAAAAGAATAGGATTAGCCATAGCAATGCCTCATCAGAACCCTGGAGATGATGAGAAACTTCTTCTTAACAGCTTCCCAGAGGGGATAGGGAGGTGTTGAACTTTTAGATCCAAGACAAGACTCTTGTCCAGGGTGCCACATCAGCAAACTGAAACTTAGACAACTTTTGTGTCCCTGGAAACACTCTGCTGCCCAGAAATGCAGTATATCCAGTCAGCCAATCCCCAAATACCAAGCCAACCCTGGGCCTTCTCACTCCAAACAAGTTTGACTGTGTGGCCCCAGACAATCAGAAATTTCCTATTTGTATTTTTCTTATTCTTTATTTTATTTTATTATTATATTTTTTAGATTTTATTATTTATTTGAGAGACAGTGAGAAAGAATGAGAGAGAGAGAAAGAGAACACATGAGAAGGGGGAGGGCCAGAGGGAGAAGCAGACTCCCCGCCAAG